CCCCAGAGCACCTGCCTATATCTGAGATTCTTGAGTACGGGGATAGTGAGGTAAGAGAGAAAAACAGGCAAAATATCAAATGAAAATTTGCCAGAAATAGGAAAAACATGTTTTTCTCTCCTCCCCTTGTGTTTAAAACTCATGTTTTTTCTTTTTCTTGTGGGAGTGGTAGTTAATGGGTGGCTGCAGAATATAACACAAAACCACAAAGAAACCTCTAAAATTCCTTCGAAACAGAAAAGGAACAAGAAACAAATATATCAGCAGTAGCAGTTTTCACCCCTATGTACCTGAGCTACGTAATGCTTCAGACAAAGTTCTTGGTCATAATAGTTATAGTGATGTGGAGTCTGATCCAGCTCCTCTTGGAGCCAATGGGAGTCTTTCCATCAACTTCACTGGGATATGGATCAACTCTTTAGTGATAACACTGACTAGCAAACTGCTATAGTAGTAATTGAGAAAGTGTAACAAGTCATGGGTGCTACCTAAAATAGAATTACAGTGATGGTGGTCAATGATGCACAAGGTTTCCCTTTCCTTCTCTAAGAAAGAGGAAGGAGATAAAGAAATCCTTGATCCCATTTTGATTGTTAAGTGCTATGGTATCAACAATGTGAGAGTACTACAGACAGAAAATCCAGACTTCCCCAGGCTTCTTTGGCTTAGTAACACATGCTGAGGCTTTTCGCTCTATTGACAAAAGATTTTTTTCAGTTTTAGAAATTGCCTTTCTTTACATAAATCCATCAGTAACCATCCTATCATTGCCCTTGAAGATGAGCCTTTCTATTTCTTTTTTGTTTAGTTACATTGTATGCCACAATATCAAGATGGCAAACACACTCAGATAAGAATCCCCATAATTTCTGTAGTTCCTCCCATTCATTCCCATGTGAACAATTGTATTGCTTCTTAAATTTGGTTTCTTTGTGCTGCACATTTACTTTGCATCTACATAATCATACTTGTCTACAATGGCAAGTTACTGCACTACAATTTTCTCCTTCAGGCGTGTGAAAAAAAACCTCCCAGAGTGTACCAGTTACAGCACTATAAAATGTCCATGTAAATAGGCTCCAAAAACTGTTACTACATCAAGGTGATTTACCTAGGCTGTGTCTACACTGGCATGAATTTCTGGAACTGCTTAAAACGGAATACTATTCCGTTTTAAGTTTTTCCGGAAAAGGAGCGTCTACTGGCAGGCTGCTTTTCTGGAAAAGCCCTTTTTCTGGAAAAGCATCTGTGGCCAATGTAGACGCGCTTTTCCGGAAAAACTACGATTGGGGCTTTTTTCTGGAAAAGACTACTGGGCTGTCTACACTGGCCCTTTTCCGGAACAGTGTTCCGGAATAAGGACTTATGCCCGAGCGGGAGCAGCGTAGCTTTTCCGGAATAGTGGCTTATTTTGTACAGTAGGGCGTCATTGCTTTTCTGGAAATTCAAGGGCCAGTGTAGATAGCTCGCAGCTTATTCCGGAAAAGCGGCTGATTTTCCGGAATAAGTGGCCCAGTGTAGACACAGCCCCAGTGTTCTTGCCATGACCATGCTGCTGCATGCAGTTTGAAGCACAACAATCTGCAGAATTCCACACACTATAGAAAAAGAACACACCATCGTAGATTTCATTACATCAAATCTCCTTATACATTTCATAGAAGTATAACAATATTTTGCAAATGGGGAAAAAAATTCAACATTTGTAAGCACAGAATGAATGTATATATTCCACATTTAAAGCATGTGTGTATACACATAGAAACAGATGACACAACAAACTTATAATTATCAGATTGAAAGACTTACTGCAAATCATAATGATTAAGATGAAGTTGTTGCAAATTTTCATTTTGTAACAAAATTCCTAGTAACTTCAATATCACAGGTAGGGATGACAAAATAATTTGATTTATATAAGAGTTACTCTGCTTGTTCAAAATAATCTAAGCAATTAGATCATAGCTAGCATTGGACAAGCAGTGGAAACAATTTGCCACAAATATATTTGCTAAACCAGTTTGCGGTTCAATATAATAGTGTTTATACCCTTGGTTTGTTCACCTTCCCACAAACATAAGGCCAGCCACTTTTTGTCCACATGATTTTGTGGAAATAACAGAATGTTCTGAAAGAAGAGCTCACTGAACCACCTATGTGCTCTGAGTTTGGGTGTTTGGGAGTAAGAGTGTTAGGAGGCAAAAAGAAAAGTGAAAAAGAATGGCAGATATTTTAAAAGATCCCAAATAAACAATCACACTAAATAGCAATGAAGAGTAGGGCAGATGATGTTGAAAGAGCAGAACATATCCTTGCCCAAGGACATGTAATATAATCCAGTCTAGAAGATGGAGAAAGGTGCCTGCAACATGATGAGATACTAAGGTGGAAGGGATTTGTTTCTGGGGACAACAACTTCTCCAAACAAATCCATATACACACACTCCTACAGCCATATTGTTACCTGCAAGACATCAATGAACTCTTACAGACAGGGAAGAGGGTAATAGGAAGCACTTGAGCTAGTTAAGCTCCACTACAGTAAGGTGGACAACAGTTAGAAGATGGTGCCTTAGAATTTCCTATTCCTGCTTAGCTAAGACTAGGTTTCTTGTCCTTAAGAGTAACTCTTAGCATCTTAGCATCTCTGAGAAATTCAGTGCCTCAGTGATTCAGGCTGGCATGTGCCTGTTACTCAGAAAACTTAGGCCAACTAATCAGGGACTCGAAACCCCACCAGTGACGCATAGACTTATCACAGAGACCTAAATTTTAATACAGATTTATTAAGGGATTACTCACTATGAATAGCAGGCAAAACCTCATAAATTTTATGAGGACCTAATAATTTCAACTGACATTTTCTAAGGAGCTGAAAAGAGTTAGGTTCCCAATTCCCATTGAAATCCAATGAGGGTTGAGTGCCCAATTTCCTTTGGAATCTTTAAAAATACCAAAAACAGTGAGTAATCCTGCGGCTCCTTAGAGGCTAACCAAAATATATAGAATTGTGTGCCTTTGTGGGTAAAACCCACTTCATCAGATGGAGGTTTTGTCCATGAAAGCTCACAATTCTATATATTTTAGTTAGTCTCTAAGGTGTCACAGGACCACTTGTTTTTAAAGTTACAGACTAACATGGATATCCCTATAGATAAACCTTCTGAGATTTGAAAATGTCACTCACTCACTACCATCAACTAATTTGTAAAAAACTCATTATGGGCAATTCATTAACTGAAATGAAGCTCACATTATGTAATAAATTGTTTTCAAGAAATTGTTGAAGTAGCTGTAATAATGACTACATTTTGTCTCATCCCTCATTTTAGCCTTCTATGGTGAATGCACTCTATAAATATGTAGAGCACAAGAATGTTGTCTATATTTTCTCTCCTATGAAGTATTCTACAATTCATGACAACAGTTGATACTTATTATTGTACTTGTTTAATGTAGTGCAGATTGTAATATGAAATAATTTGGTGAGCTCAGAAACAAATATGTAAGAATGAATCTATACCTTCTGAATGGCTTTTAACCATTGATAGGTTATTTAACATGTCTCATGCGTGATAACAAAGATATTTTTCCTTCGTTTCTCTAGAACTACATTATTACATGTGGATTCGTTAAACCTTTATGAAGGGTTTGATTAGACAGGTTTAAAAAAATTAGCCTGGTGTTCAACAAACATAGAAGACATTCTAGAAGGAAAAAGTCACTAAAAGGGTGTTAATCTTTCATAATATAGTATAAGCGCAAAAATGGTATTGCATTCCTTATTGATTACATTAAACATATGTTGGTGTCTGACACAATATTAATAACTGTCATAATATTGACACACAGTTAATTAGATGTCATCACTACTGAATTGTGAACAATGAGCTAAAGGTGGTTTTATTATTATTTTGGTTTGTAATGAAGGGATAAAAGAGATACTATACAGCCCTGAGTAATGACCATTTGGGGTAAATGCAAACTTACATAAATATTAGGTTTCAAGATAAATAATGAGGTCCATAGCTCCACAAATTTAAACTCCATATACTGATATCTAAAAATATATATTCTAGTTTATGCAGCTTATTTTTGACATCACAATAAAACTGCAGAACTTTCTAGTAACTGAGTTTGTTAGTGCTTGTGAAATATAATGAAAGCATTTGTACGCCAGCATTAACCAATATCTATATGCCATCCTTTTGATATATAACAGTTTGTCCTTATATTTTCCACATTTATCTTTGTGAGATTAGAATGAACATAACATTTTTGTGCTAACACAGTTTTTTATTCCATTTTAGGGCCCTGAGTTTTTTTCTTTTTATTTATTTAGACTGTTTGAAAACAAATATGAACTGAAAATAGTTTTTAAAATTTAAATCTCTATTCTCTTTTACAACCCTGCCTTTTGTGACTGTGCAAATGCACTCTTAAGTGTTTTGTCGGTCAAACTTAAACATACATACCATATTGCTTATCCAGTATTAGAAAACCATTAAACATTCCCGATGACAGAAATAAGTTGAGTGATGCTAAGTAACAGAATTTAGTATAACTAAAATGGTAAAATAATCAAAATATAAAACAGCATAGTTGCCAACATATCTTGGCATAGGTGTCAAACTCCATGGCTACGTCTACACTGGCATGATTTTCTGAAAATGCTTTTAACGGAAAAGTTTTCTGTTAAAAGCATTTTCGGAAAAGCACATCTAGATTGGCAGGATGCTTTTCCGCAAAAGCACTTTTTGTGGAAAAGCATCCATGGCCAATCTACACGTGGTTTTCTGCAAAAAAGCCCTGATCGCCATTTTCGCAATCGGGGCTTTTTTGCGGAAAACAGTACTGTGCTGTTTACACTGGCCCTTTTGCGCAAAAATCTTTTGGAAAAGACTTTTGCCCAAACGGGAGCAGCATAGTATTTCCAGAAAAGCACTGACGATCTTACATGAGATCATCAGTGCTTTGCCGGAAATTCAAGCGGCCAGTGTAGACAGCTGGCAAGTTTTTCCACAAAATCAGAAGATTTTGCGGAAAATCTTGCCAGTCTTGACACAGCTCATGGGTGTACTCAGGCACCCTGGGGAAAAAAATAGGGGAAGCTCAGCACCCATAAATCAGCTATTGGGTGGGGTCACCGACAAGCACTCAGGGGAAGATGGAGTGCAGGTGGAGTACCCACTGGGAAAAATAAAAGTCAGTGCCTGTGTTCTTTGGGGCTTCTCAATTCAGCTTCCATTTATATAAATGGCTTCCCCCCACATTTCAGCAAGCTCTGGACACACACAAAAAGATGTCATAAACCTATTAGAGTACTGAGGATACACTGAGTGTTTTGCATATAATCATTTAGCATAGTACTGTTTAAGAATAGACTCTTTGCCTCTAAGATGGTGGCAACTATGATTCCCTATAGATAAACTGTAAATGGAAAATTTAAACATCTGATTCAATACTAGGCATTTTCTTATACACACGTCTATTGCTGCAGGAATTTAAAACTCTTGGAGTTGAGTACACGCTATTCTTATTTGCAACATAAGGCATAACATGCTCTGAAAGGTACATATCATTATGGATCCGGCCATCTCTGGAACTGTATGATGCTGTGGATCTTATGGATGACCTTGAATAATTATCATTTCTTGCTTTTGACGCTAGTGATTGTTTATAAAGATCAGCAGGACTTCGCCCAAAAACTAAGTGCTGGTCATCATGACAGGAGTGCAGGAAAGGGTTATCTGCAGAGTGATCAGGATATAATGATTTGCTTCGCTTACTGTCCTCCAGAGTTTGCGCTGTAAGTGAGGACTTGTTACTGAACAGTTTGCTTGGTGGGGCATGAAATGTATTTGCATAAGAGCTGCCTTCTAGAAACCTTTCTTTCTCTTTCAAGCTTATGCTTCGAGTAGGTCTTCCCATATCTATTTCCCTGCACTTATCAAGGAGGTTGTCAAAAGAGTGTTGCCTGTTGATCCTCAGCATGTTCTTTTTCTGATATTGGTCTGCATTATTCTGGACCCAGTCATGTTCATACATTTCTTCAGGATGCTCAGAATTGACTGCTTCCTGCAGTATTTGATCTTCATCAATATCATATAAGTTCCCCATCCGCAAGCAAGCATCACATTTATAGGGAGACCTGCTTGAATAATGACCTGTGTAACTGGGCAAATTGGAAAGGCAGCTCCTGCAATGAGTAAAATTCTGTCTGTATTTATCATTCACCTCAACTAAGGAAGCATTTTTATCTTTTAAGCTATAGTGCTTTGAATAAAGTTTGTATTGGTCATTATTTGGAAGACTGTCTTCATTATGTAAAGGAGTCCTCTTACCATGCTCTGCTTTCCTGTAGTTGTCATTGTGATCTTGGTAAACAGCAGGGAATTCAATAGTCTCCGGAAGGATAATATTTTCAATATACTGGGGTGGATTCACATGGAGGCCTGGCTGCTTGTCAGCATCGATTGTGTAAATTTTATCTCGAGGAGTGCTTTGTTTGGTTTTCAGATATGTCAGCTCCACTTCACTACAGTCCTTTGGGTATTTTGACCCCACTGATCTTTTTTTAACATTGTCCTTGGTTTTGTGGTGTTTATTATTGTGTTCAGGTTCCATATGGCAAGTGGCTCGGCTTGAGGTCTCAGATACATCCGAATGGACAATCTCTTCAGGAAGGTATCTTTGGCCCTTCACAGAATGCTGCCTATTTTCTTCTGAGCCATTTTCTCTTTGTGAACCTTGGCTCTGACGAATAGATTCTTGACGTAAAGATTCCACAGATTTCTTCCAAAGCTGCCTGGGTCGAGAGTTTACTTTTGCTTCTGCTGTAACAGCAACCTCCACTGTATTTGGATTTGATTCATTTAGTGTAAGAGGATGCTGACCTTGGAAAACATAGTTGTTAAGATTGTCTTTGTGGCGGTTGCTGACAAATGTTTGTAGTTCACTCATATTGTCACCAAAAAGGTTGTCCTGTGGCTGAAAGGACCTGTTTTCAGAGAATATCAAATTCCCCTTATCCATGACCATGTCCATAATTAGTGAACCCCTTTGAATGAAATCATCTGTTCTTTTGGGGGAATTAATTCTTGAAGAATTTATATTGGTCATATTTTTAGCTGTTCGAAGTAGTTTTAGCATGTTAGTCTGCGAGTTGGTTAAAGTAAAATCAGGCGATTTCTTTTTTTCCTCAATGTGTACTCCATGAATACAGCTAAAAATACCCTGTAGTAAGAGTAACATAAACAAATTACTTAAAATACTGTAATTTTTCATATTGCATTATTAGTAATAACATTTAATTGAATGTCACTTATTTAATGAGCACAAAAAACAGAAATGCATGCCTTTCTTCTGCAGCATATTTCTAGAATCATGCAAAAGACTAAATATTTCTTGATTTCATCTATGCAACAGTAAAAGAAAAGTAGTGCTAAAAATAAAACAGAACATTTTCCCCAAAGTATATGATTCTTTGGCACCATCGGCCTCTGGCATTAAAAGGGAGAATGTTATACAATTATACTGTTAACATTAGATTAAAAAAATAGTTCCATGCATCCCGCCATATGTAAGCCACCACCTGCTCCCAATCTGTTACCAGTGTTCTGACTGGTATTTTGCTCTGTCCAATGATGATAAGCATTTGGCTGCATGTGTGTGCTCCCCCATATGTTGCACTGGCTCTGTGCAGGTTGCCAGCACAGCAGACTCCGAGAGAACCTCCAAGAACCACAGAATCAGATAAGGCACAAAGGCACTCAAATCAGGTTTCTTTTCAATGAAGCACTGTCCTAGTGTCTTGGCTCAAAGGTGCACTAACACATGTATGGCTGTTGCAACAGACACAGCTCAGCAGTCAGTGGTGGGAGTTTTCACTGCTCTCTTAGTTGCACAAATAATTAAATCGAGGTATTCCAACATTTATAAACTATAATAAATAATCTGTGATACACGCCTTATATATCATCTTACAGGTTTCATGACATTTTTGTTACCTCTACTGTAATTGTAAACTTTCACTCCTGATGTTTCAAATAAAATATCTCTATTCATTACTTTTGTCAAACTATTTTATCATTTGCTAAGTTGGGTGTCCATATATTGTCATGCTGTAATGAGTTTACATGTTCTATGCGTTTTAGCTGTGTTAACAATACTAAAGCTGTGTTCATGTCTGGACACTGACTTGAAGGTAAATTCTTGCTTTTAACAGGGCCTGCCTGTTACTCAATAGTATAATTCCTGCTCACTTTGGTTGAGGCCTCAGGCCTTACATCAGGTTCATGCGTCAGATTCTTTCTCCTACAGTGGGGGAAAGAAAGTTAAGAATATTTCTGGGCAGGAAGGAGGCAGGTCAAACAAGGACTTGAGCTCAACATATATCCTGACTCCTCTCTTTTTCTACAATCCTCCTCTGTGCCACAGCAACACATGAATATTCAAGATCCTGGGAAAATCATTAATCTTTAATGTATCATCCTCTTTGGCCTGACTGCCACCCTTACAAATATTGAACAGTTTTTAACTCTATCTGTGATCCTATTGAAACAATGGAACTAATTACATAGTAGGGTACTACTCAATTTAAGTATGTCAGGAACAGATCCTTCACAATAGTCAGTTTACAAAGGACTAATATATAGTGCAACATCAGCAGTGAATCTGAATGGGTGACCATGGCTTCCCTAGTGAAAACATTGAAGATGTCTTACAGTTTTCTTGAATGCTAATCTTCACTTCCTGCTGGGTAACTGGTGTGACAGGTAGGTAAAATGTGTGACATACTTAAGGGTAGAGGAGTACCACTTGAAGGGCACTGTGACAGGGCAAGATCGCCCCACACTCCGAGTGCCCCAACCCCCTCGCTGAACGGGGAGCATAGAACCCAGTCCGCCACCTGTGCCACATGTTCACACGCCGCGGTGCAATTGAGTGGTACTGCAGTATGGGGCAGGGCGCCTCAGCCGCATCACGGGCACGCTGCAAGTGACGTAAGGGAGGGAAGGTGGAGCATCTGGGACACGCAGGGGAGATGTCACCGGGAGGGGTGGGCGTAAGAAGTGGGGCAGGAGATACAAAAGTAGAGTTGACACAGGTGAAGGGGGAAGGTGAGGGAGCAAGTAAAGGAAGCAGAGCCTGGAACAAGGGAGAGGGAGAGGAATGTCAGTGGCAGTGTGCCATCTGCATGGACTGAGGAGACAGCCAGGAGGGGTGCAGAGCCCTCCAGCTGTAACCGGGGAGCCTGCGGGCTGGCAAGTGCAGCAGGAGACCCCACCAGCTGGACAGGAACACGTCTGAGCCTGTCTGTAGGGCCCTGGGTTGGGACCTGTGAAAGAGGGCAGGTCCGGGTCCCCCTTCCTCATCTTCCAAGGGCGGGTGTAAGTGCACAGACTATTGTAAGCCGGGACTCACATGGACTGCTGGAGGGGAAGGTTGGACTATGAATAACCTGAACAGGGGGGAAATTGAGGGCCTGAGTGAGGCCCAGAATGGAGGGGAACTATCATGCTCCTTCACAGGCACCTACAAGATTTCAACAATTGTAACAATGATAACAAAGAGAAAATTTCATTTGATGTCTACAGACAATTGAAATACTAAGTTCAATAAAATATTTCTGTAAATTAAATTCAGTAAAGAGCTGCAAATTATGTATCTAAATGCATTTTATATTTTATTTGTTATTTGCTGATAATGATCAGCTACGGGGTAATTATGAGCTCTGTATAGCTATAATTATAGGGAAGTTTGGCGAGGGAGTTCTTCAGGTAAAGGAGGAGTGGTTATGTGACCATTGTGGTAAGTAGTTGTGTGTTTGTGTTTGGGGTGTTCTTACTGCTTCCCTGAAAGATACCATGTGCTGAGCTTTTTTTGTTTGAAGGACCATGTGCTGAGGTTAGCAGTCTGAGAACTTCTTAAAGAGGCTTTCAGATATAATCTTTTTCACACCCATCAAGCCTTAACCAGGGGCCAGAGCTACTCAGGAAGGCCAGGGCTTTAAAAAGCCTGCTCCTAAACGACAAGTGGAGCTAGCAAACAGGAGCTAACATGGGAATTTGGTGAGGGAGTTTGAGGAGAGCTAGATATGCTTGATATTCTTTAAAACTTCTTGAAACTAAACTAAAACCAAAATCATCTCATTAAAAAAAAAGTCCTATCAAGAAACTAACTAAAGTTTTTGCCTGGGAGTAAAAAGAATGCAGCCAGAAACCCAGTAGTAGAGTGGAGGCTATCCAGTTTATTGCACCAAATATAGCATGTATGATTATCTGACCAATGGATAGGTGGCGTATATGTGCATTCAGTGCAAGGAGCTCCTGGCCCTCAGAGACTGCATACTAGCTTTGGAGACCAGGGTAGCTGAATTGGAGGAGCTAAGCAAGGCATTGATGAGACTTTCCAAGACACAGTAGAACAGTCCCACCCTCAGTCACACAGCCTCTGTGTTGTTGAGGAGAGTGAAAGGCTCAGGGAAGGAGCTCATCCAACTGTAGTAGAGGGAAATAATCCCATAGTTAGGACCCTCCTTCCAGATGCTGTTGCAGTATCCTCTCACACTGAGTATACTTCTCTGGGGGAGGGAACTCCAGTTATTAGGAAAAGGCAGGTGTTAGTAATGGGAGATTCAGTCATTAGAAACATGAACAACTGGGTTTGCAATGACGAGAACCGTACTGTGCCTTGCCTGCCCGGTGTGAAGGTTGCAGGTCTGTCGAGACCTCTAGATAGGTATATGTGTCATACTGGGGTGGAGCCCGTGGTCATGGTACCAGTGGCTTTGGGAAAGATGGGAGAGAAATTCTGGTGGCCAAATTTAGGCTGTTAGGAAAGAGATTGAAATCCAGGACCTCAATGGTAGCATTCTCTGAAATACTTCTAATCCAATGTAGAGGGCCAAGTAAAGAGGCAGAACTGCAGGGTCTCAATGTGTGGATGAGACAATGGTACAGGGAGGAGGGGTTTAGATTTATTAGGAACCAGGGAAACTTTGGGATAGGAAGAGCCTATACAGGAAGGATGGGCTCCAGGTCAAACAAAATGGAACCAGACTGCTGGCATTTAAATTCAAAAAGGTTATAAGGGCTGTGTGACGGGCCGGCCCCGTCACTCACGCCGCATCCAGGCGGGCAGGCAGCTCGCGCGGCGAGCGAAGAGCCGGGGAAGCGCTGGCTGCATTGCCGCGCATGTGCGGCAAGCTGGGAGCCGCTTTTAAACGCGGCCCCGGCACACCTGAGGGAGAAACACGCTGGCAAGTGGGAAACGGCGGCGGAGGACGCCGAGGAGGGGCGGAGGACACAGGGAAGGGCCGACGGATCGTGGAGGCAGTGGGCGAGCGGAGGACCCGGACAGCGCCTCCCTACCACCCCCCCCAGGCAAGAGGGGCGCACTGAGAACCGCGGCAGAGAGCCCGAGCCGGGACTGACCAGACCCCAGGCCACAGAAGGGCAACCAGGCGATGCAAGACCACGGGAGTGACGCCCTGACCTGGACGGTGTCCCTGGACTGGTGAGAGCTGGACTAGAGGGAGCCCTGAGATGGGGATCTCGGAGGGGGAGGAGGGCACGGGGGTTAAGTAGCAGGGTCCTGGTCATAGCGGGGCTCGACCCCGTTATAAGAGAACCCTACTACGCCCTATAGGCCAAGAGAAAAGGGGTCAGGGGTAGTGGGAAGCCCCTCCGTGAACTGAACGCAGGCTCCCTTACCCCACATTCCTACGGGGCTAGATGGACGGGGGGGGGGTGGTTCCCCCGTGACAGGCTGTTTGTAAATAAGGGCTGGAGGAAAGCCAACAGGTGCAGAGAAGCACATGGATCAGGCAGAGACATCCCTATGGGGAGGAATTATAAGTACAGGTTATCTATGTACTATTAAAGAGGAGAGGATGGAAAATAAGATGTAAGTAAGAACAGATGAGAAATAGTCAAATGAAAGTGTCCCCTTCACTCACATCAGGTAACATCAGATAGCTAAATAGTGACAAGTTTTTAAAATGCTTATATACAAACGCTAGAAGTCTAAATAATAAGACGAGTGAACTAGAGTGTCTTGTATTGAATGAGGATATAGCTATAATAAACATCACAGAAACATGGTGGAATGAGGATAATCAATGGAACAGAGTCATACCAGGGTACAAAACATATCGGAAGGACAGAACAGGTATTGCTGGTGGGGGAGTGGCACTATACATGAAAGAAAATGTAGAATCAAATGAAGTGAAA